TATTATTATCATATTCAGCCCACATCATCATCAGTCCAGTGTTGGCATTACTCATCTAGACCAGTGGTTCTTAACCTTTTTGAAAGAAACGCCCCCTTGAGCCATTGAGGAAGTTATCATCGCCCCCCTCGTATTTCTTATTATATCTTGTTTGTTTGTTTGTTTGTTTGTTTGTTTGTTTGTTTGTTTGTTTGTTTGTTTGTTTGTTTGTTTGTTTGTTTGTTTGTTTGTTTGTTTGTTTGTTTGTTTGTTTGTTTGTTTGTTTGTTTGTTTGTTTGTTTGTTTGTTTGTTTGTTTGTTTGTTTGTTTGTTTGTTTGTTTGTTTGTTTGTTTGTTTGTTTGTTTGTTTGTTTGTTTGTTTGTTTGTTTGTTTGTTTGTTTGTTTGTTTGTTTGTTTGTTTGTTTGTTTGTTTGTTTGTTTGTTTGTTTGTTTGTTTGTTTGTTTGTTTGTTTGTTTGTTTGTTTGTTTGTTTGTTTGTTTGTTTGTTTGTTTGTTTGTTTGAGGGGTGTCGAAAGGGGACTCTGGGGCCACAAAAATGGTATTATTATCATATTCATCCCACATTATCATCAATCCAGTGTTGGCATTACTCATCTAGACCATTTGGTTTGATGGTGCTTGGAGTCCACCTCCAGCTAAGAGAATAAGCTGCCCATATCTTGAGGGGATGAGTTGACTGCTATATGCTCAAGCTGTTAGGTGGCAAACTCATGCTATAATTCCTGACTGAAATTCACCAACCCAGAGAGCAGCTGCTGCTTTCCACAGTTCTCTGGAACGGCCTGCGTTCCAACCTTTGGATTTCCAGGGCCTCCCACACCAGAGAGGTATTCATGAGAAGCCCGGCAGAATTGCCTGTGCTACATGCAAGGGAATCACATGTGCATAATCAAATTAGATAAAACCATGCCTCTCTCACAGTTTGATGGGAGAATCTGTGGGCTTAAATGTGTTGATGTCTTCATTCTACCACATTATTTCCAAACTGTTGAGATGAAGCAGAGATCTAACTTGGAATAAGGCAGCTTCCCTTCTCCCTATGATTCTGTGTCAATTGGCTATAGAAATGGCAGCAATTTTGTTGTTGTCGTCGTTGTTCTGAGGTCTGAAAACCACTTTTGGGCCCATGAAAAGCCACTCTTTAAAAGTGATGCATTTTACAGGCCTCAAGGTCTTCCCTGCCTCATATATCCATTGGATTTATTGGTTCGTTTGTTTATTTTTATTGATAAACAACCCTTCATCCAGAAGCAGTCGTACAGGACTAGGCAACAACATTATGGGGAGGGAGAAGACAAACACAATGCACCTACAAAATAAGAGGCATAAAAGCTGTTCAGCCAAAATAACCAATCAATCAATCAATTAAGAAAGAAAACAGTTTTTACAGTGCTTCTTCTCTAGGTCAACTTAAATGGATCTCAAGTTCTTTGTTGGATTTACTGTACTTCTCTTATCCCTCTCCTTCCCCCACCTTGTGCCTTCTGCCTTGGGCCAAGGGAGCAAAGGAACAAGCATTTTTTTTAGTACGCAGATTTTTGAGCTGCACAAATGTACTGGTAGATGCCTCCCCACTACCACCACCACCACCGCAAAATACCAAAGCCAAACACAGATCTTCAGGCTGACTGCCTGCTTTAGTATTTGTGTGACGCTGCAGTCAAGAGGGTCTATAGACTTTCAGTACCAGGAAAAGTGAAGAGGAGGAGAAGGTTCTGGTTGAAAAAAAGAGTTTGCTTGAAATTTGCTTGCACGTTGATTTAACAATAGAAATTGAGCACTTCCTAACCCTTACATAATTTGTGTTAAATAGCACTGGCCATCATTTGAATCCTTAATAACCCAGGTAACATAACCTAATTTGTTTCTGTGTTGCTCCAGGTGCACATCTATCAGTTTCCAACTGTACACATTTCCCCCCACTGCATGATAAACAACAATAACAAACACTGCAGTATGATTGCTCCGTTGTGATGTAGTGGCTGCAAATCTTGGCTGGATCTTTAGAGATCTAGGTCCTAGTCTTCACTGAGTCATGAAGCTTACTAGGTAGCTAGCAGCTCTTTCTTAGCCTGCTGTACTTTACAGTTTTTTTAAGGGAATAAAGTAAATGAAAAAGTGTGCTGCTTATATACTGCCCTAAGGTGCTTAAAAGCATTCTCTGGACAGTTTACAGTTTAATTATGCAGACTACACATTGCTCCCCCCCCAACTCAAGTGAGCTGGGAACTCAATTTACTGACCTCAGAAGGATGGGAAGCTGAGTCAACTTCAAGCCGGCTACCTGAGATTGAACATGAGCAGAGTTTTAGCGGCAGTACTGCAGTTTAACCACAGAGCTGTGAGGCTCTAAAGTTTGGGAGAGAGCCGTGTGTAGAAAAAGGGAGGAGGAAATAATTACAGTCCGTGAAAATGAGGAAAAAATGCACACAAAGCAAAAGAATATACTCTGGACAGGAAATGCATAAGTGAGGCAGACTGACGTACATTTACTTGTTTTGAAAAAACTGGAGGAGAAAATATCTGTAAGACTTTAGGTTAGACCACCTGTCTATTGCTTTATCAGTATAGTTCAGTACAGGATCTCTGTTGGGTACCAGTGTAGCTTATGGTGAATAAATATTGACAAAGTAGTCTAAAGAGCAAACACTTTGACATTTGTAATGTCCACTGGAAGATCTTGTATATATTTAGCCTGAAAGAATAAATGCAGCATACTAGTTTTTTTTTCTGAGCTTGCCCGTGTTCTGTTTTTCATCCTTTGTTTTGTGAAGCCTTCACCATCATAATTGGCCATTTCATTGTGTGAGTAAAAGGGATGTTGGACTTCTCTTGGGACAGGATTGTCGTATTGATTCCTCCTCTTCTCTCTCACACACACACCACAACTTTTTCCTATGTGGAGATTAATCCACACAATGAAAAGGAGTTGGATTTAAGTCTCCCAAGTAAAGCATTGGCTGTCCTCCCCTCTGCAATGTCACAGTGTTGATTCATGTTTAGCATTTGGTCCACCAAGACATCTAGATCCTTTTCACAAGTACAGCTGCTGAGCCAGCTGCCTTATATTTGTACATCTTTTTCTCTTTTTTTCCCCATCTAATTTCAGGACTTTAATTGTTTTCCTTGTTGAATCTCATTTCATTTCTTTAGGTCCATTTCTCCAGTCTATCAAAGACATCTCGAATTCTGATTCTGTCCTCTGAGTAACTAGCTGCCCCTCAAAGTTTGGTGTTATCTAGCATCCCACCTATACCCTCATCCAATACATTAATAGGAATATTACACAACGCAGGGCCTAAACAGAACCCGCTTGACGCTTCTCTCCAGGATGACGAGGAACCATAGGTGAACGCATCTCAAGAACCTCACATGTTCCCCAAGAATTCTTAACGATTATAGACAGAGGCTCTGAAGTTATGCAAGTTCCTATTGGAGGTAGATCATCTGGCCCTGGAGACGTGGATTCATGTGAAGTCATTAGGCATTCTTGTGTCATCCCTTTGTGTATCCTGAGCAGCAGCCCCCTCACAAGCTCCTTTCGTCCCTTCCTACCTGGCTGCAGAAGACAGAGACAAAGTAGGCATTCAGCAGCTTTGCCTTTTCTCTGTCGTCCATTAAAAAAAATCTCCATCTTTTCCACACAGTTTCCTTGTTCGTCCTCTTGCATTTGCACAGCTGATTAAAAAAATCTTTTTACTCTTTACTAGTCTAAGCTTATTTTTGGGATTTAGCCTTTCCAACCTTCTCTCTAATGAGTCTTGTGGTGCAGGGGTTAAGCTGCAGTACTGTAGCCAAAACTCTGCTCACAAATCAAGCTGGCTCAGGGCTGATCATCCTTCGGGGATCAGGAGACTGAGTACCCTGCTTGCTGGTGGGGGCAATGTGTTGCCTGCATGACTGAATTGTAAACCACCCAGAGAATGCTTGAAGAATACTTTTTTTTCTCTCCATTGGTCACTCAGATTCTTCCTTGGTGATCTGCCCCACCTTCCATTTCTTATACATTGCCTTTTAAAACCACCACCATCATCAATAATAACAACATACCAAATCAATTTTCTAACATGGTGACCTTTCCAGGATTTTCTAGGTACACAGTATTCAAAAGTGGTTTATCATTCCTGTCTTTTGGGTGTATCTTGGGACTGGACTGTGCAGCTTGCCCAAGGCCAAACAGGTTGGTTGTTCACCCAGAAGGCTTTGTAGGGAATTGAACTCCCAACTCTATCTAAACCACTGAGACATTTAGCCAGTCCTTTCAAACTTACCTCATCTGAACATTAGCTCATTATTACCACCAGAACACAGAGAGTTTGGGGTTTTTTGGGTCAGAAAGAGAGAACAATATTCTCACCCATGGAATATTGTGTCATAAGAGGGGGAAATTGCTTAACCATCCCTGTTTATAAACATATCTTCTGAGATGAAGCTGCTGCTTAGAGTAATGCCCACCTTTCTGAGCAGCCCCAATATGCAAATATAAGCTTTTAATTTTCTTGTAATTGAGGAGATATTTCCTTGTTGTTTGTCTGTGGGTTTTTTTTATTGATGTTTCTGTGTTTTATTAAAGATTGGTTCTCAAAAATGTAATGAGTAAAAAAAATCTGGCTTAATTTAAATTGTGAATCTGTCTGTTAAGAAATACATTAGGGGTAGGAGAAGCATAAGACATATTAATTGACAGACAGGAACTGCTGTCTCTGAGGTTGATACGAGTAATTTATTACTTTAGAAATGAATGCCACCTCCAGAATGTGCTTCATTAATTTCAAATTTAGTTTTAATTTCAAGCTGTTGCCCCTTGAGAAGAATAAGGTGGCAAATTATGTTTGAAGAGCAGATTTTTCCCCCTCTTCTTCTTACTGGGAAGAAATGCTAAATTTTAACTGTTTAATTTTAATAAATAAATGTAGTTCTTTGATCGAAACATGCCAACTGCTGATATAAACTGAGGCCAGCCATCACTAACCCTGGTTTTCTTTCTTCGTTCTTGTAGCTTACATTTCGGATGAACTGAAGGCAGCTGCGATGGCAGAAGATGATCTAGAACCCGAAGAGAATGTGGCGGATGGAGAACCCTCTGCGAAATACGCCTGTCCGGAGAAGGACTTCACTAAGAACTGCCAGAGCTATCAAAACTCTCCAGCTGCTGAATTTTCAAGCCATGAAATGGACAGCGAGTCACACATCAGCGAGACGAGCGACCGAATGGCCGACTTTGAGAGCAGCTCCATCAAGAACGAGGAGGAGAGCAAAGAGGTCTCGATACAGCTGGATGAGTCGGTTGTGTCAGACAGTTTGGAACAAATGAAAGCCGTCTACAATAACTTCCTTTCCAACTCATACTGGTCCAATCTCAATCTGAACCTCCACCAGCCCACCTCGGAAAAAAACAATGGGAGCAGTAGCAGCAGCAGCAGTAGCAGCAGCAGCTGTGGGAGTAGCAGCTTTGACTGGCATCAAACTGCCATGGCCAAAACACTCCAGCAGGTTTCGCAGAACAGAATCCTGCCTGAGCCCAGTCTTTTTAGCACAGTTCAGTTGTACAGACAAAGCAGCAAGCTTTATGGTTCTATATTTACTGGAGCCAGTAAATTCCGCTGTAAAGACTGCAGCGCTGCCTATGACACTTTAGTCGAATTAACGGTGCACATGAACGAAACGGGACATTATCGGGACGACAACCATGAAACGGATAACAATAACCCTAAAAGATGGTCCAAGCCTCGTAAACGCTCTTTACTTGAAATGGAAGGCAAAGAAGATGCCCAGAAAGTGTTAAAGTGTATGTACTGTGGCCATTCATTTGAATCACTTCAGGACTTGAGTGTTCATATGATCAAAACAAAACATTACCAGAAAGTGCCTCTGAAGGAACCCGTAACTCCTGTAGCAGCAAAAATTATCCCAGCCACTAGAAAGAAAACCTCGCTGGAGTTAGAACTTCCAAGTTCTCCAGACTCCACCGGTGGGACACCGAAAGCAGTTGTCTCCGACGCCAACGACGCGCTTCAAAAGAATTCCAATCCTTATATCACGCCGAATAATCGCTATGGGCACCAGAACGGCGCCAGCTATGCCTGGCATTTTGAAGCAAGGAAGTCTCAAATTCTCAAGTGCATGGAATGTGGAAGTTCCCATGACACTTTGCAGGAACTTACTGCCCACATGATGGTGACAGGACACTTCATTAAAGTCACCAACTCCGCTATGAAGAAAGGGAAGCCTATCATAGAAGCTCCTGTCACACCAACCATTACTGCATTGCTCGATGAAAAAGTGCAGTCTGTACCTCTCGCAGCAACAACCTTCACATCGCCTTCCAACACACCATCTAGCATCTCCCCCAAATTAAACATTGAAATAAAGAAAGAAGTCGACAAGGATAGAGTAATTGCTGATGATAAGATGAAAGACAAGGAAAAAACAAGTGAGGATGAAGAAAAATACGACATCTCCTCCAAATATCATTATTTGACTGAAAATGACTTGGAAGAGAGTCCAAAAGGGGGACTGGATATTTTGAAGTCTTTAGAAAATACAGTCACGTCAGCGATCAACAAGGCCCAGAATGGTACGCCAAGTTGGGGTGGGTATCCCAGTATTCATGCTGCTTACCAGCTTCCTAATATGATGAAGCTGTCCCTGGGTTCATCGGGGAAGAGTACCCCCTTAAAACCTGTGTTTGGAAATGCCGAAATAGTATCACCAACCAAAAGCCAGCCTCTTGTTTCACCGCCAAGCAGCCAAACATCCCCTGTGCCCAAAACAAATTTCCATGCAATGGAAGAGTTGGTCAAGAAAGTCACTGAGAAGGTGAACAAAGCTGAAGAAAATATGAAGGAGCCCGAAGGTGGGAAGCTTTCGCCCATGAAGAGAGCAACACCGTCGCCGTCCAGCAGTGAAGTTAGTGAGCCCCTCAAGATGGACACCTCCAACGACGTTGGGTTCAAAAGCCAACAAAATAGTCCTGTTTCTCAGAGGGAGAACTGTAAAGACAGCCCAACAGGAGAACCAGTAGAGAATGGCAAGGAGCTTGTCAAGGCAATCTCCAATACTTTGAGTAGTAGCACAGCTATCATAACTGATCACCCTCCAGAGCAACCTTTTGTAAATCCATTAAGTGCATTACAGTCTGTCATGAATATTCACCTAGGGAAGGCAGCTAAGCCCTCCCTGCCAGCTCTAGATCCCATGAGTATGCTGTTTAAAATGAGCAACAGCCTAGCAGAGAAGGCTGCTGTGGCGACCCCACCTTTGCAGTCCAAAAAGCCAGACCACTTAGACCGTTATTTTTATCATGTCAACAATGACCAGCCCATCGATTTGACGAAAGGCAAGAGTGACAAAAGCTGCTCTTTGGGTTCAGCGCTTTTGTCATCCACGTCGGCGTCTTCGGCAGCCTCTTCATCTACAGTGACAACGGCAAAGACATCTGCAGTTGTGTCATTCATGTCAAACTCGCCGCTACGCGAGAATGCCTTGTCAGATATCTCTGATATGCTGAAGAACCTGACAGAAAGTCACACATCAAAATCGTCCACACCTTCCAGCATCTCGGAGAAGTCTGACATTGACGGGACTACAATCGAGGAACCCGAAGAGACAACCCCAGCGCAGAAAAGGAAGGGACGCCAGTCCAACTGGAACCCACAACACTTGCTCATTCTGCAGGCCCAGTTTGCTGCCAGTTTGCGGCAAACGTCGGAGGGGAAATACATCATGTCAGACTTGAGCCCGCAGGAGAGAATGCACATTTCCCGGTTTACGGGCCTTTCAATGACTACCATTAGCCACTGGTTGGCCAATGTGAAATACCAGCTGCGAAGGACAGGGGGGACGAAGTTCCTTAAAAATTTGGACACTGGGCACCCGGTGTTTTTTTGTAATGACTGTGCTTCACAAATCAGAACTCCTTCGACGTACATCAGTCACCTTGAGTCACATTTAGGTTTCAGGCTACGAGACTTGTCTAAACTGTCCAGTGAACAGCTGAGCAATCAGATAGCACAAACAAAGTCGCCCTCTGAAAAACTCTTGGCACCTTCACCAGAGGAAGAAATGGGGACCTCGTACCAGTGTAAACTTTGCAATAGGACTTTTGCAAGCAAACATGCGGTTAAGCTCCATCTCAGTAAAACACACGGGAAATCTCCAGAAGACCATCTTCTGTATGTTTGTGAATTAGAAAAACAGTAGCATTTACTTTCGGACACAAAAAAATGACCACAGCAACAACTGTATGTGGCTTTGAGGAAAACTGTCAAAAATGCCTTAAAGCTGCTTGTTTTCTGTTCTTGGCACATAATTCTTATTTTAACTCTGGGGTGTCACTCTGGCCTGAACTCTTTCTCTCCCTTTTTGTATAACTGTACAGTATTTAATAGAGGTGCATAATCAGCTGTTGTTACTGGTAAAATATGAAGGTAAAAATGCAGTGGTAAGTGTTTGGAACTTTGTGTAAATTGGGGTTTTATTTGATGTGCATCCTTCTGATGCCATGAGCTGCATGCATTAACAAAACAGTTTAATTAAGCATTTATGAACAAGTTCTGGTGCACTTTTTTCATGCTGACTTAAGTGTGCCAGCAATTCTCACCCTGTAAATCTTTAGCCCTCTGAGTACTTTGAAGCACTTTTGCATTAATTTGGATTTCCTTTTTTTAAAAAAATACATCTATATATATGGCTACGTTTTCTTTATTAAAAGTCCCCTTCCAGCCAACTCTTAAGAAAGGTGTGAACAAGTTTTTTTTGGTTCTATTTTTGTAGCTGGAGGCAAAATTTGCAATTGGAAAGAAGAATTGCATAGTTGGATTCTGATAGAAGTGCAATTGGAGGAAAGGGAAAAAATAGTTTATACATAAGTGTTTATTTTAAAAAAAGAGCTTAAACGACAGACACTGTCAATGCAATGCAATTTCAAGCTGCACGTTTTGTCTTCACACGCACACAAACTGGATGCAAACAAGAATTGCTATCAGCCAATGTGTCTGTCTGCTAAGGCTTCTTTAACATGTTTTGAAGGGAAGTCACATGGAGAATGTAGGCAAGTTTCTCCAATGTGAGCTTTCCTGTAGCTGTTGCATAGAATGGTAACCTGTTCTGATGTCACCTCAACAACTGGCTTTCTGAGTATACTGTGATATCCCAGATCACTCATATTTTGGGACCTGATGCCTTGCTTCAGCACTTCCAATATTCCATGCTGATCATATTTCCGTTGTGTTCCTAGAGTTCACATGGACCCATCGCTCTCACAGTGTGGCTTCCTGTGGTGTGTGCATGATTGTCCTGCAGGAAAAGCTACTTTTATTTCTTCAGGAGGTATCCCATATATGTGAGTTACCACACCCGTCAAAGTCCATAAGATGCTGCCCTTTGGATATACCCTTTTTTGTACTCGATTGATGGACCTCCATGTATGTGTAGGGATGGAGCCCACCATGAAATTTTGAAATACATTTTCACATTGAAACGTAGTTGGTATATATTGTACAGATTTAAAGATCTTCTAATGGAAAATGTGATCATGGATAATGCCATTTCGTCTCCTCCTCCAACATTTTTATCGTACCTAATATGCTCTTTCAAGTATAAGTGGTACCTATAAATATATAAATATATATATAAATATATATAAAATAATAATGTATATTTCTTTTCTAGGTCAAGGGGTTTTCTTTTAACATCCAAACAATGTAAATTATATGAAAGATACAACAGATAGCATTTATAAAGTATTCAGAAACATTATTCTTGAAGCAAAGTATGGTTGTTGTTCTTTTTGTTTTGCTATACAGTACATCTATATTGATAGAGGTTCATGTTTAAATTATACATATTTATTAGTTGTTTGCTACCTTTTTAAAAAAAACATTCTGATAACAGAAGCCACGGACTGGCGTGCATTATGTCTATTTTGCACAACACAAATTTTAAAGGTATTTATTAGTAAAATGGATTTTAAAAAAAATCAAAAGAGAAAATTCAAAATCAACTCAGTGCTCAAAGGGTTAAATCTGTTTGGGGTGGGAGAATTGAAGAAAATAAAAACTTGTACTGTATTTCCTAAACATTGATAAAAAAAAGAAAGAAAGCCTTTAAAATGTTTGTACTGTAATACTTTGCTTAAAAGTTATGAGGCATTCCGTGATATAACATCTTCTACTTATTTATAAGCGCTCTTGGTTGTTATTTCATATTGTAGAATGCCTTCTCCCTCAACACCACCACCACCCCCTTTCTTTTCAGTTGGTAACTTTCTGTTTTGTTCTTCCTAATTATTCTCCCCAGATTTCATACAGCAGTTTTATCTTTAAGCATATGAAAGGTAACCCGTGGTTACCAGCACACTAAGTGATTCTGTTCGTCTCCATTTTTGGCAGTTAATTTGCAGAAGTAACTGACAGCTGACACCATATGAGAATCTATGTGTACAATATTGGCATGTAAACAGCACAGACCCAGAATGTGCCCCTGTTCTGTTGCTGACAATGTGGCACCATTATATGACTCTTCATATAACCTTTTTTTTTCTACAGCTGCATTAAAATTGTCTTTTTTGCTATAATTTTGTCTTGCGTTCACAATTATATCTGAAATGTGCTACGACTAACGAGCACATTAAAATTAAATTGTATGCTTGCTGTTTATGACTGAAGCTTGAGCAAGCTTCTTCATCTGCCAGGTGTTGGCAGTCCAGATCTATACATAAATCACTGGAGTTTTAGTGAACTTTAGCATTTAAAGAGCAGGGGAGCAAATATTCAAAGGCTGCCTTTTACAAAGAAAGAAAAAGCCCCTAGAAAAACACAAAATGAAATTGAGGTTATATCTCCTCTTTAAACTTCCAGGAAGATTGACTATAAAGAAGACGGTTTATAAGCAACGTTTGTGGCAAAGCAAATAGATCGTTTGTGAAGCCGTACATTCAAACCCAATCACATACTGTTACACAACGTCTCTCTTAAATATATTATTAGTGTTCAGAGATGCAGGATTTCCCTGGAAGGTTGCTTTGTGGCTTAGAGAACTCCTTCCATCTCCCTTTGGTTGTCAAGAAGAAAAATTCCAAGACTTATTACTGCAACTTTATGGGTTCAGAATGCTTTCACTTTTGCACAAAAATTGATAGCAAAGAAAGACAGGAGAACGAATGAGCACATAGACAAACAAACACAGACATTTATATGCTAATGACAAACTTTTACTGGCATGAGCGTATCGGTCTAACAAAACCACAGAAGCTGCCATTTTAATCTTCATTAGTGTGGAGGAACTGCAGTTTTGCTGTAGAAAGACATGGTCTTTGGCTACCAAGACAGACACACAAAGCAAGCCCATTATGTCAGTACATCGCAACATTATGTCTTCAGTGTATGTTCTAGGGGGATCACGAGTCTTGAGGATTTCTGAATTGATGACTAGTTGGATGGAGAGATAGCTAACAGAGGAGGGAGGCAGGCTGCTATGCCAGATTCTGATGCCTGTGTTGCAGTTTCTATAAACGTCACTAGGAGCCAAACTGTATTGTCTTTATGAGGCATCCAGACCTGATCATGTGTCAGAACTCAATCATAAGAATGGCACTTTCCTCCCTGATTAAGTGTATCATCCAGGGATGTAGTGCCTCTCCCTATGAAAACCTAAATGTTTAAGTCTGAAAATGCTTTTGCCTCTAACGTGCCCTGAATTCGTCTACAATCCCACAGTGTCAAAAGTTGCTTTCAGAATTACTGACTTATTGTTATAGTTCCAACAAACCTTTAGAAGTTGGATACAGTTACAATTAAAGTTAAAAAAATTATTTGGGTACAATCCAATTGTTAGTCCCAATTAGAGCAGAACCATTGGATCATTGGGACTTTTGTATGCATTGATTTAACACATCCGTTTTAATGGATCTTCTCTAGTTGGAACTAACAGATGGATTTCATTCTTTACTTTCCCATTTCCCAAAAATAACTGCAACATGCTGCCATAACAAGGTTGTCACATGTCAGTTGCCTTTCTGAGATGTCTGATATCGAAAGGCATTCTATTTACCTCTTGGTAGGTCATATCTGCAACATTCTCAACAAATTGGTTCTGCGTCATTTATGTATTAAGTCTGCTTTTGTGGCTTCGTATCCCCATTCCATTTTAATATGTCTGGGCCACATTGTGAAGCCAAAATAACCAAGTATTTCAAACAATCTGTTTCCTCTGCTGTCATCTTAATTTTTGATAGACGGCAGTCATTATAGATCTGATAGTGATCCTTCCGATTCTGAGATTACAGCTCACGTTCGTTATCTAGAATCCTTGGTTGTGATGGCTATATTGGTGAGATGAATTGTAATGAGACAGCATATTATAAGAAAGATACACTCAGTGTCTCTGCTTATTCATACGATTATCATCCTGGTGGTTTGTGGTGGAGGATTGTCGTGTATATCTTCTCCCACTGCATAAACTGTTAAGTGCAAGCCTTGAGAAAGGTACTCTTTTGGATTATGATTCCCAGAATCCCCCAGCCAGCATGATGTAGTGCAAAGATCTGTATTCTTTTCCTTCCAGTTTCTGGAGATGTTGCTAGGAAATCACTGAATGACAGAGCATATACTTTGTAAGCAAGCAGTTCTGGATTCACTCTCCAGTTGTTTCAAAAGAGTGACTGGTATCTGGCCTGGGACAGACCTCTGTTTACAAACTTTGAAAGATGTTGCCATTCAGAATAGACAAAATGGAACTCAATGGACCAGTGCTTGGTTTCAGTATAAAACAGCTGCATAACACTGCATGAATTTCAAGCATAAATCCAAGTCCCCCTGTCAATTACAACAGTCAACTCTTAAACACAAGGTATTTCAGACAACCTGTAAACAATGCCTTGTTGACAATGCCAGTCCCATTGCATTAACTGTGAAATAGCAAGTCAACCCACAGGCAAATCCTTTGATTCAATAGTACTACTCTAGTTGGGATCAGCAATTGGATTTAGGCTAGAATTCTTGACGCACCATCAGTTATGGCAGTTGAGGACAGCTATTTCACACAGCCAAGCTGCCTTATTGCAGCGGGAGAACGGAAATGTTCATTTTGTAGGTTTTCTGGTTTTCACAAATATAGAAGTTCAAAAGAAAGCAAAACGGGAACACCCCAATGTTTTCCCCCACACGTACGTACACAGAGAAAATAAATGGCACATTGAAACTAGGATGAGTGAAGGCAGGGTAACAGAGATGAGCTTTAAATCAAAAGTGGATAAAGGTGACCCTGTTCTAACCCCACCCAAGTTGTGGCTTGTTACTGTGTACTGTATATCTTCCAGCCATCAAATTTACGCAGTAACCTAAAATAACATTTGTGATAAATGTGCAATTTAACTAATTTATGGTGCTCTGATGTGCTCAGGGCTACATGGAAGATGAAAATCTTAAATGGAGCTTGAACGGCACACTTCACAACCAGAAATCAATATGCCAGATCTGAGAAAAGGAACCCGAAGAAGTCCATGTTTCGCACACAAAAAGGAAAGAGAGGGGAAAAAAAAAAAACACCCACGGGTGAATGTATCTTTAAGTTTTCGGCAGCAAGAATTCTACAATTAATTGAAATATTGCATATAGGGTGGGTTGTGGTTTTTTGGGGGTTTTTTTGCAAGCAATGGCTGCTGGTACCCAAATCTCTCCAGCAACTTCATTATATTTTCTCCTGGCATCAGAAATTGCAGCTCGGCTGTTCTAATTATACCATTGCCTTCATCATGCAAACTACATTGTAATTTTCTATCCAAAGCAAGACAGCTTTTCATTGTTTAAAACGGTAATATTCACAATATTGGGCTAATCTATTGCTTTTTAATATCTTTGTTAGTAAACACTTAGATAATTGATTTTGTTATCTTTTTTTTTAAGGAAACAAATCTGTTTTGAAATTCCAAGGCGAAACATTGGTTAGATTATTTTGTAATGTGTCATGTATTTCTTGCAGAGAAACTTTCACATATGAATTCCAGTCAGATATTCTGAAAATTCTGTGCCTATCTCCACTTTTTTGGAGATGAGGAAGGAATATTATATTTAGCTGCCATGCCAAAATTCACTACATTCACCAATATGATATCTTAATTTTTCAGACATTTTCAGCATTAGATCTGGAACTGTTATGACTGAGATTGCCAACATTCACAAAGAATGGGTGATAATAACATTCAGAAACACATTGTAATACTGCATGTAGACAAATGATGACAGACAGATTGACAGATAATAGATACAGCTGCTTTTTAATTCTGTGTCTTCTGAATTTTACAAAACTCATCTACAATGGAGAAGTAATAAAGCAATGCTACGCAACAGAAGGAGAAATAAATAAACTGGTAATGGATAAATCGAATAATTTTTGAATTTTAAAATTTTGCATTTTAAATTCCTTGGTTTTATTTTGCGCTTTGTATTGGAAATGGTTAAGTTAGTGCTATGGTCAAGATTTGTTGCCATTCTAAGCTAAACATGTGGAAATGGTGGCTACAATCCAGTAGCAAGCCATAAGTGTACATGGTACATATTCAAA